TGAATACATCCAGAGATATGTTGTTTGAGTACTTTTTTTCTGTATACAGCGCTGAATATCTTCACTTCTCTTCCTTCCATACCCTTTTTGTTAGAATGTGATTAGTTAGCATATTTGAAAAAAACTTCACACTGAAGCAAACTGAATTCCGATACAGACCTTTAATTCAAACGTAAATTTTTTTTCTTTAATTTTTCAACATCGATAAATAAAAAACTAGAGTTTCTTTTTAAAATTGCCACGGATAGATCGACGCGATATTTAATTATCTCTTATTTAAAAAAAAGAAACTTGCAATCGGCTCATATTTTAGCTCTCAAATTTGATTTGTCCACAGCAACCTTTTTTGTCCCACTGTGCGCGGCCGAAGGCCACCAACGCGGAAAGGAGTTTTACGCAAAAATACTGTTGATGCCCTAACACGAGTTTACTTTCTTTGCGAAAATAATCATTATATAAATAACCGAACATTTCCCACGCGCAACATTAAATCCTATGATGTATTGTTCGATTGCTATCAACGTGGCAAGGTAGCTCATAATTTTGTACAATTTATGAAACTTCAAAAACTTATTTTTTGTCAAATATTTTGAAATTAAACTTCCTTCTTTTTGTATGATGAGAATACCTTCAAGGTAATAATTGATAACAGAAAGTGCGATAGCGATTCGAAAATTGTCGCTAAGTGCACGGTTAAAAATTTCGGTTTTAATTTTAAACTTTTTGGACTACATATATGACCAAACTAAATTCAGTTTCAAATACAAACCTTTCAAGCTTAAAAAAAAGAGAGCACATATGTTGGGTTTAGAATTTGAACAGTTCGGTTTAAATTTTAAACCCAAACATTTTCATAATTAAGAATAAAAAATAAAAATAAAATTTCATGCCCCGTCTGATGTGGATTGAACCCGGACAGCCTTGGTAGCAACCAATTGTATCAAGCATCTTTGCACACTCAGCTACAGCCACGCATGTAAATGTTCTCTCTTATGTTTAGTTTGAATCAAGACCACGTTTCGCTGTCTGCAAACATTTTCTATTTGGGTTTAGATTTAAAACCAAGTTTTCTATATATGAAACCTAGAAAATAAAATTAAAATATTTGGTTTGATTTTTAAACCACGAACTTTTTGGACTAAAATTCAAATCAGAATATATAAAAAATTGCTAAAAACTATTGACTAGTTTAAAAAGTAGACTATAAAAGAATAAAAAAGACAGTGGTCCCAGCGCATGATTCAATAATAATTAATTATTGAATCATCATCGTCTCAGCGCTGTTTAAAAATTAAACCCAAATTTTTGACCGTGTGGTTACAAAAGGGAAATTATTTTTCTTTCCCTCTTTCCCAATTTAGACAGCCAAAATTATAATAAAAAACCAGTTAAATTTCTAAAAAGCAATTTAAAAAATCCTCATTTTCCTAACAATGCTTAACGGTTTTGCTTTCGGTTTTAAGAAAGCAATACTCAGAGCATTTCTGCAACGACAAAATGCCTTCCAATTCATTCTACGTCGCCACAGGGAGAAAACTGTGAATACCTTTCAAACGTTAGCAGAAACTGCAGCAGCACGTGGAGCGCATATTAAAACAATACATATGATCTTGCCGTTCAAGTCAACAGCACTACCATTTCCACCACTCTCGCAATCGCTGCGATTGCTGCACAACGATATGAATGTACCAGACTTCTCCGACTATCGCCGTGAAACAACGAATCCAGATGATCCACACGATAACTGCGCAGAACAGCGCAAAGCCTTCTCTTACATGATGGTCGCCGCTGGCGTTATCGGGAGTTGTTATGCCGCCAAAGGCATAGTGAACATGTTCGTAAGTTCCATGGGCGTATCAGCCGATGTACTAGCTATGGCCCAGATCGAAATCAAGTTAAAGGATATACCAGAGGGCAAGTCGGTTACGTTCAAATGGCGAGGTAAACCACTATTCATACGACATCGCACCGAGGCCGAAATCCAGGATGTGCGTTCGGTGAAAATATCGACCCTACGCGACCCAGAGTCAGATGATAAACGCGTCAAGGATCCACATTGGCTGGTGGTGATCGGTGTCTGCACACATTTGGGTTGTGTGCCAATTGCAAATGCAGGCGACTTCGGTGGCTACTACTGTCCTTGCCATGGCTCGCACTT